AACGAACTTGCTATGTACCAGGGTGTGCCATGCGATTACGATGACGAAGATGTCGATTTTGACGTGCTCGGATGGTGGAAGCGGAACGAACACATGTTCCCATGTCTCAGCATGCTAGCAAGACAAGTGTTGTCCGTCCCAGTATCAACCGTAGCAGTTGAACGAGAATTCAGTGCTGGCGGCAACATTCTAACCGACTACCGAAGTTGTCTTAACGCTGAATCTCTTGAAACACTGGTTTGCAACCAAGATTGGCTCTTGGCAAGACGTCGGGCTCAAGAGTCATCGTACCAACTCGAATCGGAGCATTACATGAATGCAACCACATTTGGAAGTCCGAGTTCTGAAGAATAAGTTATAAATTTTTCTTATGTTAATGTAAATATGTAATTAATTTTTTTAGGTGAGCGATATATAAGCTCATTCGAGGGTTTCTTTACGGTTCTTTACCTCATCGCTTTTTTTGAACCGTCAGGATATTAAATGTTGTTGTTCTTCACTTAGTGTATTACTCATTTTCAATATTTAAATAACAACTACATTTTTAGATTTTTTATTTCATTCTTTCCTTAAACAATTGCAAATTTACAATTTTATACTTTAAAAATTTAAAAAAAAAAACAAAAAAAGGGGGGGGGGCGAACCCGGCCGGTCCGGTACCGGAACCGGTACCGGCCGGCACGATAACAATTCGGGTTACATGGGGTGGCGGTACCGGAATCGGCGGTTCCGGAACCGGAACCGTCCCGGAACCGTACCGTGTCCACCCCTACTGTGGGGCACTGCAGCAAGGTCTTTTTGTATAGACAAAAACAATACTAGTCCAAGAAACAAGGCGCCAATAAAGGAGACAAATGGCTCCAAAAGTATTGATAATTATTGTGACACCTTTTGAATTTCCTTTTATCTTTTCCCATTGATCAATCAATCAACAAAATAATAATGTGAAATTTGAAAAAAGACTAAAACATAATGACTTTCTTAATCTAGGATTTAGACTTTTTTGTTTTCTAAATAGGACCTATTAATGTCTTAATGGTAGGAATAATGTACAGTAATGATGAACATTTACTTAAATAATGACTAATTCATAATGATCAAAAGTCAATAATAATCCACCATAAATTCATTTCCCAACCCACACCCCCAAAAAAACATAGAAACAGAATCATCAAAAAAAAAATCAAAGGATGTCTGGAGGAATCATCAAGGTTGGGCACATTGATGATGTCCAAGAACTGAGTGCAACTAACCCCTCTCAAATCCCAGAAAGATTCATCAGGGACATTTCAGAAAGGCCTTCTTCTTCTTCTTCTTCTTCAAGTGATGACCTTAAAATCCCAGTCATAGATCTGTCAAAAGTGGCCATGGAAGGCAAGAGGAGCTCCCCAGACTTCCATTCTGAGATGCAGAAGCTCACTGCTGCCTGTGAAGACTGGGGATTTTTCCAGGCGGTGAACCATGGGGTGGAGGAGGGGCTGGTGGAGAGGATGGAGAAGGCGGCCATGGAGTTTTTCAGGCTGCCTGTGGAGGAGAAACAGAAATACCCAATGGTCCCTGGGACAGTGCAGGGGTATGGGCAGGCATTTGTGTTCTCCGAGGACCAAAAACTGGATTGGTGTAACATGTTTGCTCTTGGGATTTTGCCACATTCCATTAGGTGCCCTCATCTCTGGCCCTCCATACCTCCCACATTCAGGTATATATGTCTATCAACTTCATCACTTTCATGGTTTGAGCTTAATATTAATAATGAAAAAATGTGGATAAAATAGAACTAAAACATAAGACATTTCACCCGGCAGGACTTAATTTTTTTTATTCCTTAAATAAAACTTAATAATGTCTGGTGGGAGAAATAATGTCCAGTAATGATGGACATTTTGACCAATAATTCTACATTGGAAAATAAAATCATATGATCCTATATTGAGAAAATCGTTACGGAGTATGTTTTAGTCTTGTTTAAGAAAATTTCTCATTGAGAATGAAAATTTGTTTAATTTAACTGCACAAACTCATCGAGAGCGGGAAGTAATACTCCCTCTGTCCACCGTAGATCTTCTCAGACACTATTCATAGGATCAAATTTTACTCACTTTGTTTGCTCATTTTACTAGTCATTTCGTAAGATAATATAGTCTTGTCACCTCTAGTTTTATAGAACTTTTCATTAAATTGAATTGAAAATAAAGTCGATCAAGCCTCATAACGCGTAATGGAAAGATCCTAGGTGGAGGGATTGAGTAATACTCCCTCCGTCCTAAAACTTTCTTCCCGGTTCGCAAAACGAAGAAAAATCCCAAGTTTTTTCAATCTATTTTATTTAAATATTGGTATAGAAATAAAAAATAAAACATACATATTTAAAAACTACATCAAAAGTTCAACAAAACAAGTGGTGACAAGAATATTTTATTTTATCATATAGGCCATGAAAAAACACAAATAAATATAAATTCCCGTGAAGTTGGAATAGTGCTCTGGGAAGGAAAGTTTTAGGAGAGAGGGAGTATTTTTCTTGAATAATCCTTGTGAGAAATTAAAATGTTGCAGTGAGACATTGGAGGC